TGACCCCAGACGTGATTGGAGCCTGCCAGGGCGAGGCCCAAACCTAGACATGCAGCAGTAAAGTTGAGCGTAGAGTTTCAATTTGGAATGAGATGGCCCTCAATGCTAATGCTTGTTCTCTAACTTACTAGCTTTGAGGCCTCAGGGAACTCAGAGCCATGGTTTGAGTGTCTGCTGGGTATGAAGACAACCTCCTCCTCAGGAAGGTAATGAGGATGAAATAAGCTAACAAGTTAAAGCTCTCATACCAAGCCTGGTGGACAATAAGTACTCAGATCCTTGTGGACTCCTTTTCTTTCTCTCTGTTGCTATGTTTTACTGACAAAATTGGAAAATAGACAGGTTGGGGAGCATAACCAGTATTACTAGCACTAGTAGCTCAATTCAGAGCTACTAGTCTCAGAATTGCTACCAAGGATGCAGACAGTGCAGAAGGTTCTAAATCTTTGCACACAACATACCCATTTACTTGTAACTCTTTAGTTAGAATTAGTTGCCTTGCTTAGGTGGAATGTTTTTCAAAGAAACTAAGTGGAGAAGGACACATATTATCTTTTGCCAAAATAAATTATTGGTAGAGCCTTCTGGAATTAAGACCATGGGTCACAATGCATTCCAAATGCCTTGTCTGGGCTAGTCAAAATATTTTGACTTCTCTTGTCTTCAAATGACACACAGGCATGATTCTTTAGCATGAGGCCATCCTGATAGGTTGCAGGTAAGCCAAATTAGAGGAAGTGGTATTATCATTTTACTAAAGGCCCAGTGCATGAACTTTGTGCACAGGGAAGGTCCCTAGTGGCTGCTGGCAGGGGCCTCCCTTCCCCCAGCTGCCCACCCCCTGGTGGTCAGAGCACATGTAACTCCCGGTCGGTCAAACTCCCACCCATGGGGACAATTTGGATATTAGCCTTTTATTATATAGGATGGTGCTGGGGAGACTTATAGTAAATCAGTCTATTACAGTTATAATATATGAAATCATGCTTTTGTGACTTGATCTATATCTGTAGATTCCAGTAATAACTACTCAATATGTGTCTGCTCTGTTTTTACCCCAACCCAATTCTGACACTATCTAGGGTTGGTGCAGACTCCACAGGTTAAGGGCAAAGAGCTCCACAGGACTGTCCCGCTTCAGATGCTAGCCACACATCTTGGGAGGCCACTCACATTTCTGGCCAACTAGCTACAAATTTGAGGGTTCCATGGTGCCCTCAGATTTAATAATTTACTAGAATGACTCACAGAGCTCAAGAAAATGCTATACTTGTGATCATGGCTTTATTATAAATGATGCCACTTACGAGCAGCCAAATGGGACACCTAGGGCCAGGTCTAAAAGGGAGCACAGAGCTTCTGCACCCTCTCCCAGTGGAGTCAGGGCATATTACACGATGCCCACGTTTATGAGTTCACCAACCAAGAAGCTCCACTGAGCCTCAGTACCCAGAGTTTGTATTGGTGTTTCATTACACAGGCATGGTTGATTACATCGTTGGCCACATGATTGAACTCAATCTCCAGCCCCACAACCCTTCTTCCCTGCAGAGTCAGGTTGACCCAAAGTTCCAACACTCTACTCACATGGTTGGTCTTTCTGATGTCCAGATCCCCTCCTGAAGTTATCAAGAGGTCCACTTGAGTCACCTCATTAACTTAACAAAGACACCACCATCAGTCGGAAAATTCCAAACATTATAAGAGCTCTGTACCAGAAATCCGGACAAAGATATATTTTACTACACTATGGTCTCCTGTTATTTAAAAATCATCAGGGATTTTAACTTTAAGCTTTATCCTTTGGGCGGGAATTGGGGGTGTCACTTAAAGCAAGCTGAAATGATCATTTATTGAGCACTGCTGTGGGCCAGCCATTTATAATGTATGTGCTGACAGCAGTACTTTTGGGGGATAAATTAGAGGGTTGTCTGGAGGAAGGGTGGTCTGGATGAAGCTAAGCCAGGGGAGGATTGGGAAGAAGCAGTAACACTATGTAACCACAAAGTGAGAGCTAAACTAGGGGAGCAGAAGTGGAAATGGAAAAGGAGGATTTGAGAGAGATTTTAAAGGAAGAATTCAACTTATTTAAAGTGTTGTGTCAAATACAAAATACTACACAATGGGTCAAGAAGTTAAAACTACTTGAAGAGTTCAACTACTTTCTAAAAATATTAAGTGATATTAATAAAGTGGCTCCTCTGTGATTAATAGAACTTGTATTTTAAAAATTAAAAACTCAACTAACATTAAAGTTCTTAATATTTTACCTCTTGAACAAACTTTGGGACTCTTGTGCTAATTGCAATGCCATATTCCCATTGGTTCTTCTGAACAAAAAATGTTGGCCCCTGTGTTCAAATGGAAGACCTGCTTCTGTTTGAAAATTAATATTGTTTTTTGTTTTGTTTTTGTACCTTTAAATAGCCTTTTGAAATTTGTTCACTTTTGAGTACAAGTTCCTTTCTCCCCTTGTAGATCACAGACTGGTGAAGGGGCTGGCGTGTGTGGAAAGTACCCAATGTAAAAGAGAACTTGTAATACTGCAGTGTTAAAACTGGCTATTTCTTCCTGCAAGCAGATTTCAGTTAATAATAAAAGCAATTTCAGAATTCTCAATGTGTACCCTTTTCTTCATGACAGTAACTTAAACAGAGAACCACTCATATCCATAGAGGTTTTGCAATATGACAGATACTTTAGATAAGGTTTTAAGAAATAATTTAATGGGTTTAAATTTGTTTGGTGGGGGAGATAAGGATTATTTTAATGTATTATGCATATATTAAATTGAAATAGAAATGAAATAGTAAAAAATTATATACAGTTTATTCAGGCAATAAGAAATCATTATGTTTACTTAAAATTATTATATATCAAGTTATAAGATATTGATTTTTAAGAAAATTGGTAACTGGCAACCCTTCATGTTTGTCAATATCCTAAAAAAAAATCTTGAAGAATGGACTCCTCCTTTGACATTATATTAAAATAATTAAATCAACAAATAATTTTTTAACCTTAAGTATGTGAGAAATAAGAAAAAAATGTAAAGTGTTAACAGGTAGATAGAGCTGAAGATGGCAGTGTAGGTAAACACCAATACTTGCTGCCTCCCACATCAAAATAACAACTAAAATAGAGAACAACCATCATTCAAAAGTGCCTGCAATCTGGCTGAATGGAAGTCCTACAACTAGAGAAGTAAAGAACAAAAGTACATGGAGATTGTTAGGAGGGCAGAGGCACGAACTGGCTAGTCCAACACCCACATGTGGTGTGTTTTTAACCAGGAGGGATATCTCGGCTGTGGAGGCCTCCCATGAGGAGCAAGAGGTCCAAGCCCCACACTAGACCCCAGGCCAGGGTTCCAGTACTGGGAAGAGAATTCCCCATAACTTCAGGCTGTAAAAACCAGTAGGGATTGTGGCTTAGTGTCACAGAGGCTGCTGGAGACCAGGGAGTTCCTCTTAAAGGGCCAGTACACGGACTTACTCAGACTCAATCCCTCTGGGCTCCAACGCTGGGGCGGCGGCTTGAAAGGAACTTGGGACATTTGGGGAAGAACTGGATTGTCTGGCATTGGGGCAGGAACTCAGGGGCAGCTTTCTCCCAGACAGGGTGCTTGAGGGGGTCATTGTTCCTTTGCTAGGACTTCCCCTATTCAAGAGCTGACTGGCAGCCATATCTGAGTTTCCATCAGTCTGGCCCACACTGTTTGCTCCACCCTGATGACTCTCTGAGAGTCACCCAATTTGCAGTCCCACCCAAGCTGTTTGTAGTGGCTTTTCCGTATGAATGGTTCAGGCTTCAGACTTTCCTAAAATCTCTTAAACAAGTAGCATCTGACATCAGCATGTACCACAGCTACCAAAAAGAGGCCCAAGATCCAGCACTAGCACCAGCCTGCCTTGCTTCACAGCTGGGCCTGCCTGGGCACTTCCAAGCCCAATACAAGTAGCAGACATCTTCAGATCTCTCTGTGGCTCCTGCCAGGTGGCCCTAGGCAGTGGCTAACTTTGCACCTCCTGGGAGGCCCCAGAGCCATTGACCCAGTGGATAGCTTCAGACAATACCAGATTACAACTCTTCACATCCACAAGTGACACACTCAAGGGACAGACTCAGTAAGCACCAAAGTCCCACTAAAGCAAGTCCTGCTCCATAGGGGTGTCTCCTACACAGCAGTTCTCCCACGGTAGCCAGTCCTGCCCCAAACTGGCCTGGAGGTCAATTCCTCCCAGTGATGCCAACAGCAATCAAGGCTCAACTACAACAAGACTGTGCACACAGTCCACACAGGGGTGAACCTAGAGTGCCCAGCTCAGGTGACTGGGGAGACTAAGCCATTGGGCCCTACAGGACACCTACTATACAATGGCACTCTACCAATTCTGGGAGACATAGCAGCTCTACTTAATACGTAGAAACAAACACAGGGAAGCAGCCAAATTATGGAGACAAACATGTCACAAATGAAAGAAATTGAAGCAAGCAAACTACTGGATACAGAGTTCAAAACAATGGATATGAGGTTGTTCAAGGGTCTTAATGAGAGCTTTAAGGGATTTAGACTTTCAAGGATCTTAGCAAGAATTTCAAAAACATGAAAAGGGACCAGTCAGAAATTAAGCATACACTAACTGAAATAAAGAATCATTTACAGGGATTAAACAGTAGAGTAGAGGATTCTGAGAATCAAATCAATGATTTGGAATATGAGGAAGCAAAAAACACCCAATCAGAAAAATAAAATAAAAAATAATCCAAAAATATGAAGATAGTGTAAGGAGGCTCCAGGACAACTTCAAGCATGCCAACATTAACATTATGGGGGTATCAGAAGAAGAGGAGAGACAGCAAGATGTTGAAACCCTATTTGAAGAAATAATGACAGAAAACTTTCTCTACCTGGTGAAAGAAATAGACTTACAAGTCCAGGAAGCACAGAGAGTCCCAAACAAGAGGAACCTAAAGAGGCCCACACCAAGACACATCATAATTAAAATGCCACGGACTAAAGACAAAGAGAGAATCTTAAAAGCAACAAGAGAAAAGCAGTTAGTTACCTACAAGGGAGCACCCATACAACTGTTAGCTGATTTCTCAACAGAAACTTTGCAGGCCAGAAGGGAGCGGCAAGAAATAGTCAAAGTGATGAATAGCAAGGACCTACAACCAAGATTACTCTACCCAGCAAAGCTATCATTTAGAATTGAAGGTCAGATAAAGAGCTTCACATTCAAGAAAAAGCTAAAGGAGGTAATCACCACTAAACCAGTATTACATAAAATGTTGAAGAGTATTCTTTAAGAAGAGGAAGAAAACGAAGAAGAAAAGATAAAAAATATGAACAATAAAATGGCAATAAATCCTTATCTATTAACAATTGAATCTAAAAGACAAAATCCAATGAACAAAAGAAACTGGTGAATAAAATAGAATCAGAGGCATGGAAACATGGAACAAACTGACGAATCTCAGAGGGAAGGGGCAAGGAGAAGAGATTAACCAAAGATCTTATAGGCATATATACATTACCTATGGACACAGACAATAGGATGGTGAAGGCCTGGGGTGGGGCAGGAACAGGGTGGAGGAGAGCTATGGAGGGAAAATGGGTGGCATCTGTAATACTCTCAACAATAAAGATTTTTTAAAAAATAAATGAGATAAATGAAAAAAAGATACAAGTAGCTATTTAATATTAATTAAAATTTATTGCATGTTTATAATGTTATCAGTCACTCTACTAAGGTACATGTATTAAAAGATATAATTCTCAAGACCACACTATAAAGTAGGTACTATAATTTTCTCATTTACCTGTGGAGAAACTGAGGCTCATAGAGGTTAAGTAACTTATGTAAGTTCTCACAGTTACGGAAGATAAAAAGATGATTAATTACTGTAGGAGTTTACAGTAATGAAAGTATCAGAAAAATTTCATGGAGATAGGCTTTGAATGGGACATTTAAAGACTGAAGCAAGTTAGAGGAGAGTGGAGAGATGAGAAAAGAGAAGTAAGGGAAATTGGATGGTGGCATGAAGTATGCACAAAATTAAGGAGGTAAGAAAGAGCAACAAGCCACCAAAGGCAGGTGCAAATTTGGTTAGAGTGTCCCCTCAGTAAACAAGTCCAACATTTAGAAAAGTGGGGGGAAAAAAACGAACAAAAACATTGGGTACATAGGCATTCAGTTATCATATAAATTATAAAAACATGCAATAAGGTTAAAATCCAGATAAATGCAAATCCTTTTAGCTAGGAAATTACGATATTCTGTGCAGCTACTTGAGGTCTCATGAAGAGTAGGAGATGGATTCATACTTGCTTCTCTCTTTTTTTTTTTTCATACTTGCTTCTCTTAAACCTCTAGATTCACTCTAGATTTGAGATGCGGAGAGGCAAAACGTCCCACTCAATATGTTCCTGGGTTCTTCAAGGCCTTGACAGGAAGAGAAAAAAATACTCACCAATCTCCACAAAAGTTGCTCAGCAAAGACCATGCCCATCCCTTCATTTTCTTGTGAATGGTGGCAGCAGATATAGAAGTGCATCCTGCCCTTGCATCCGAAACTTGTCCCATCCATTCGTCTTCAGTGGCCAGAACACTGAACCGATCTAGCATTACATAGTTTTACATGAAACCTTCCTATCACTAGTTTTCAGAAATCATTTTGGAGTTTCAGAGGCTGGGCAGCAATCTACAAATTCTGTATATTAAATTATTTCCTCATCATTCTAAGTAATAGTCAAGCTAAGATTTTAAAGTTCCTTTCCCTTGAAAGCCCTCAAAATTCCCACCTGCATGCTCCTTGGGAGATTGGCTTGGATAAGCTGCCAGTCTGATCAGAGGAAAAGCATTGTGATGTGATTGTTCGTCTAGACAGGTCACAATGTGGCCATTTGGGGACTGGCAATTGTGGGTGATTTGGAGAACTGTTAATAACACCACTCCTGAGCATGAAAACTTAAAGCTTGCCCAAGGAAAGAACTAATAACATTAAAAATATTGTTGCTTTTTCCTCCTTCTCTGGATACAGACTTAAAGATAAATACCAAGCATCATTAGTTATTTTAGACTAGAGGCTTGGTGCATGAAATTCATGCACTGGAGGGTAGGGTCCCTCAGCCCAGCCTGCACTCTCTCACAGTCTGGGGTCTCTTGGGGGATGTATGCCTGCTGGCTTTGGCCTGTAAGCTGGCAGTCAGACATCCCTCTCACAGTCTAGGGCTCTTGCAGTCCAGGACCCCTTGCTCCTTACAGCCCGCCTGCAGTGGAGGCGGGAGAGGCTCCTGCCACTGCTGCTTTGCTTGCCAGCTGTGAGCCCAGCTTCTGGCTGAGCGGTACTCTCCCTGTGGGAGCGCACTGACCAACAGGGGGCAGCTCCTGCGTTGAGTGTCTGCCCCCTGGTGCTCAGTGCGCATCATAGTGACTGGTCATTCCGCTGGTCATTCCACCGTTCAGTCAATTTGCATATTAGGGCTTTATTATATAGCATTAGTTAATAATTTTTCAAGTGCATTTTATGTTAGAAATTTGAGATACATCAAAACCTTATGTGGATAATGAACAACATAAACTGATGAACAAAAATAGATCCAGAGACATAGAAGCATCGAATAGACCATCAAACCTCAGAGGGAAGGCGGGGAATGGGGGATGGAGGGGTGGAGCGGGGAGAGATCAACCAAAGGACTTGTATGCATGTATATAAGCATAACCCACGGACACAGGCAGTAGGAGGGTGAGGGCATGTGCTGGGGATGGGAGTGGCCGGGGAGAGGCCAACGGGGGAAAAGGAGACATATGTAATACTTTAAACAATAAAGTATTAAAACTGTTCCAAAAATGAAGTCTATTTATAAAACAAAAACAAAAACCCTTATGTGGAATATTTCAAGGTGGAAATTTGATTACAGTGTCCTTAATTGGAGTGTCTCACTACTCAAAACGAGCTGCGCAATGTTCACCTTCTCAGTCAACATGAGTTGATGATCAACATAATTCATACTTACTGGTCCCGAAATAGATTCCTTATAAGGAAATGAAGAACAGAACATTATATCTTAGAAGATAATAGTCTAGAGATAAAATTCCAAAGAAGCAAGAAAATTGAAGTTTATTTCTCTTAAACATTCCAGGGGGAAAAAATCACTCACATTTTCTAGCAGTTTAAAAAATTCTGATGTTATAAGGCAGACAGATAGTGGTAAGAGTGTGGGCTTTGGAACCAGATCGCCTGCATTCCATTCCTGGCTCTGCCACTTACTAGCAGCATGACCTTGGGGAAGTCACATTACCATCCTGTGCCTCAAGCTCCCCACCTGTGAAATGGAGACAGTGATGTGCTTACTTCATAGTGCTGTTACAAGGGTTTAACGAAATAATACAAGCAAAATGCTTTCAACCACGCCTTGCATAGAGTACTCAACAAATGTTAATTTACTACCCTATTGTGACTGTCGCAAGTTAGCAGCCTACCTCTTCAAATCTCCAGACCAGGATGCTCCCAACCTGCTTACTGCTATATTCTGAAGTCCCTGAAAACCTTTCAAGCAGAAAATGTCTGTTTCAAAGCAATTGATCCATAGCATAATTACAGAAAGCATAATTCTGAGTTTGGGGTGAGCCCATGAAATCAGTTAATATGAAATGACATCATATCAGATGTAAATAGACTGCTGTCAGGAGCATTTTACAAGCCGGAGAATATTGTTGACATTTGAGAAATCTGGATGTTTTCATTCTTCTAAATGTAACCACAGTTGTTTTCATTTTGTGGTAAGATGATTCTCCCTTTGGTCACATGAAGCAATTTATCTTATCTGAACTCTAGTCTTTTCCTCTTTCTACATTGTTTTTGGAAGCAATCAGTATAATTAACTCAGAAGTACTTCCCCCACTCCCACATACCCATTCTTTACTGTAAGATGTTACTTCATTTCCATTGAGGATTAATGTTTAAATTCCTTTGGGGAAAAAAGGATAATTGTATAATATAGTGTGTCCCAAAATTCACACAAGAAGTAATTTTGATAGAAAACACAGGTTTATAATTAAAAATTGTAAATTTTTTATTGATTCATAAAGTAT